CCCCCCCGCCTCATTTCTCTCTGGTCCCCGATGGTCTAGAATGAGACTGTTTTGAAATGGTGAGCCACATGACCTCACCTGTCTTTGCACTCTTTATCTGAAGACGGCAGTTTCCTCTTCATTTTGCCCTTGCCTCTCGCGCCTTCGTACAAATGAACCCTTGTGCCACTTGGAGACCGGGGGGGGGGGGGCTGACTTGATTTGCTTTCCGACTTGCGGGACATACACTCAGAAGGAGGTCATGTGCAAGAAAATGTAACACAGAAACATAATAAATCCAATTTGTCCAAAATATGGCCCGGGGGCCGTTTATGGCCCGCTCTCCATTTTTCAGTGCCATGCGACACAATGCACAAGAAAAAAAAAAAAAAGAAATTCTTACAATGGCATTTGACATGAATCGCAAGCTGATTTCAAAAAAGGTGAAGTTGGGCAGAGTGAGGAGGGAGTTTGTCAGAGAAAGAGGTGCCTTGCGTTCTGGCCGAGTGTGTCATCTGTTGCCGAACGTTCACAAAACTGGAAATCGTAATCCACCAATGGCGACGGATTGCCAAGGGGGCGGAGTGGCTCCGCCCATCGATGGGCCCGACCAAGGTCAAGGTCGGCGGCCTTCGTATCTGCGTCGTGGACTCTGGTTCCCCCCCCCCCCCCCCCCCCCCCCCCCCCCATCTGTGAGAACCGGTGAGCTGCTACTGATAAATCGGCCCGACGTCAGGAAAGCCGAAGACCTTTGGACCGAAGGTTTTCTTATCTTATCTTATCTTAAAAGATCCTTGACGGTCTCAGATTGCACCGAGGCGATTTTCCAGTCACCTGTACTGATGTGATTCGTCGGCATTCATCATAAGAACAAGAAGTCTCACCTCGCGTTTGTTTTACTCTGACCTCGGCTTGGAAAATGTGAGGGTGGACGAGTTTGCAAGAAGCAGGCGTTTTGTTTGCGGCGCGGCACATTTGGCACACGGACTGAAAATATGATTTCAGTATCGCCGCCTCCATTAGGCTGCGTGCGCGAGAGGCGGCCAGGATGTGTTTGAAGTTCACCTAATCGGTCAAGAGACTGAACTGACAGAGAGTACTTGGCTGGAATTTGACCTACCGAGGCGAACGTGCCGGACAGTATTTACAGTAGTTGGGAGCGCCGCATTTGCAGTACTGGCTCGAAATATCAACCTGATCGACGTGATACAAGAAACGGGACTAGTCAAGATACAAAATCGATGAGAATAGACTTTACGGGTAGCTTTTACTAACTTGCGCTGTCCTTCAAATCGCGCAGGTAAAGCGGACGGGGCATTTTTCACCGTTGCTAACTGACACCTGACAGTAAAGAAAACTCACAAAGTACATTTGGTCACATTTGCAGAGTGCCTGATTTTTCGGACGACTTTTGTACATGTACTGCTTTCATACGAGTGAAGTAGTAATAGCCAATGGATATGGGGGGGGAGGGGGGGGTGAACTCTACATCCCCTGTTGTAATATGAGGTTTGTTGTGATGTACAAAAAAAGTTCGACCAAGATCATTTCAAAACAGTGTCCCTTCATAAATGTGACTTGTGTCCCGTAAAACTCAGTTGAATTAAAGAAATAAAGAAATCAACAGAAATGAAATTGAATGTCCAAGTAAGAATAACTGAGCTAACGTGGTTGAACAAAAGTGCCTGCGATTCACCCCAAATAAATGTCAGACGTTCTCGTCGTGGTGGGGAAACTTCGTTGATGTCCAAAGCAAACTTCCTTTTCCTTCAAATGAGCTCTTGCAGCAAATAGGGGAACAGATTGGCTCGGGTTCACAGGCTGTCCTATTCTATGGGACTCGGAACAGCCGGTCAGCTCTGCCATTATGAATTACAAAAAAAAAAAAAGTGGGCTCAAATGTGGTTAATGATCGACGAAGCCCTTGCACCGTGCTTCTGCGAAGGCTCTTGGCAGATAAAGCACAGCGAAGGTAAACATGAGCGCCGCTTGGGTCCCTGCGGGAGGGCCCGCGATTTTGCCTCCCGCGCATGACACCATTCATGAGGCCGCGGCCCGAGATATCCGAGAACTTGCTAGCAAATGGTGTCGGAGGCCCCGTTCTCAGCCAACTGACTCCTTGTCAGCCAGACCCCCCCCCCCCCCAAAAAAAAAAGCAAAACTAATTCTCTCGGATGAATGGCATAAACGGTGGCATTTTCCCGCTCTGCGTCGATTGCGATTGACATCTTGGAGTCCCAAAACTAATGTCCACGCGTCACCCCCAAAAAATCCAAAAGTTTTTTTTTGGTGCAGTTCAAGTAATCGCCTCATCTTTGACGTGACTGAAATGTTGGCTTGTTTTGAAACCAGATGCAAGTCAGAGGAAATGTATTGCGAAACGCTGAGACGGTCCGAGATGGATTTCTGTTTTTGCTCAGCATTTGGGAAGAGGCTTACGCCGTCATCCCCCAATCGCGGGCGCCAACACGCCAGCCACCCCCGTCTGTCCGCTCCCGCTGACACAGGCCGCAGCATTCTCATGTAACCTCTCGCATATGGACATGGAGTTGCCACTGCAGCCAACCCCCCCCCCCCCCCCCCAAAAAAAAAAAAACCCAATTTGGCCTTTTTTTTTTTTTTTCCCAAAATTTTTTTTTTTTTTTTTTTGCTCACCCATAAATCACACTTCTCTTCGTGGGTTTTCACTTCCTGCTTTATGAGGCCAAAACACACACACACACGCACACACACAAACGCACACGCAAAGGGCGGCATCTTGGAACTTGTGTTGTAAGCATCAGAAAAGCGCGGCGCCTGGAAGCACTCAGTGCCAGAGAGGTTGCCGACCTATATGGTCGTTTAAAGCCCAGATGTGCGGGCGGGCGTGCGTGCGTTTGTCACGCTGCGAGGCCCCGATGGGGTCAGCGATAGGCTCTTTGTGATTTTGCAGCCACTGCTGCTTGTTAAATCCGAAGAAACGGCACGGTAAGAACGTCGCTGGGAATGGGTCGAACTTCAGGCTAAGAATAGGACATGAGACAATAATAAAAAGAATAAAGCCTCCATTTTCCACGCCGCCGGGTGTCCAAACGCGGGCAGGCCGGCCGGGATGACCTCAAGCGGCTAATACTCAATCGCCACATGTTAAAATAACAAAGGCTGGGCTGGATTTTGACGTCTGACTCGCGGCTTATTTGCTTTGGAGGAGGAACGAGCTTGGCGCTTCCAGTTGGCCTTGGCGCTGATCCTGGTCCGACTTCACGCCGCGCTCCGTTCCTTTTTAAAAAAAGGGAACCGAGGAAATCCCAAATGTAAAAGGCGACTTTTTTTGTTTTCCAGCCGGCTGCATAAAAACAAGATGCAATATTTATGAGACGGGACGTTAGCCAATCGCATGCTTTGGAGGTTTCGAAAGGGAAAAAAACAAAACAAAACACTTGAGGCTAAATGTGAGGCACCACGAGATGATTGCAATATCACGAAGAATGTATACCGAAGGCTTTAGGAGGCCAGTCCCCGTTTTTTTTTTTTTAATCTATTTACAAACCCAATTCCAATGAAGTTGGGATCTTGTGTTGAACATAAACAAAAAACAAAAACAATGATTTGCTCATTTTGATCTGGTCCTGTCGGGACTTTTCAAATTGAAATTGGCTTCATTCTCCTCGGTTCCTTTGCGACATGCCTCTTCTCCGCCGGAGACCGAGTGTGTATTTGTCCAGGCAGAAAAAGGTGTCTCGCACGTCGCCCAGACTGGCCCGCGAATGCCCGCCCGTTCGTTTTTCCATTGACTTGAGTTAATAAATAGCTCGGCGAGCAGATGCGAAGCGGAGGGAATCGTGCGGCCCTCGATGTGCTCAGCAAGCATCGCCTCAATTAGAGTTTTCAAAGCAGAGATGGATGATTTTTTTTTTTCTCATCGCAGCTACCAGGAATGCGTTAACGTATTGCAACGCAGCAGGAGCGTCGTGGCAAAAGCAGGACAAGCATTTCCCTCCCTCCAAGTACAGTATGGCCGTAATTAAAGAAGAAGAAATCACAAGACAAGCGCGTGTGTGTGCGAATGAAGGTTCTCAATGCGTCATGCGCATGAGCGCGCCGCTCTTCTTCCAGTTGCTAATGTCATTGCGGGGGGTGACCGGGTTCAGAGCGCAGCCGAAGGGCTTCCGGCAAATTCAACGGGAGACCAACGAACGGCCTTGCCTGTTGGCCACAACCAATTTCAACTTCCTCTTCGTCTGACTTTTTTTTTTTTTTTTTTTGTCTTTGCAGGCGTAAATGTTGAAGAAACGCTAACAAAAATTTTCCCGTGGCCTTTGTCGGAGTCTTGGAATGCGTTGCATGATGTCGCTTTGCGTCTGTGATGGCGCGTTGGAGGGAAAGAGCCAAAAGTAGCAGAAAATCACTTGAAACAACTCGGGTTATTTCCCCACCCTTCTCTTGTTTAAAGATTTCATTGTCGTCGAAAGCCACAAACTCAAATGGAAAACGCCGCCTTTCAAGCATTGCGCAATCGAAGAGTAAAGTGAGAGCTTCTTTCTTAAAACTGGCTGGAATGAAGTCAGTCCATGTCTTCTGAAATCATTTTCAAATGTGTCATTTTTTTTTTCCCATGTTTCCGTGACCTCCGACCTACACCGTTAAGATTTGGTTGTTTCGCGCAAGACGGCACGATTGGATGCAGAAATGTGCTGACCCAGTGTTGGAAAAAGAGAAGCGACTCGGTCCTGTATTTGCACTTGACAGTTTCAAATGCAGGTGGCGTTTGCTTCAAGAGATGACGGGCAAATAAAACTTTAGCTTTTTTCCTGTGGAAACCTTTTCGGAACTGCGACTATTTGTTTTCCTGGAAAAGCCATCGAAGGTCCCCCGTCGTCTGCCGCCCCTTGCGACACCTCCGCTGCAGCATTTCACTCTTGTGCACAAGTGAAAATTGGAGTCTGGATGTGAAAATTGTTTACGTTCCGTCTTACCGGACATTCGAAATGGCGACGTCCTCGCTGGCGTTCCCAGAACGAGTGGCAAAAATCGACGTATGTGTCTCGCAATTATTTTCCGGTCATGCACGCTTTGTTGAAGACGGTCATTCCGAGAACTGCTCTCGTTTCAAATCCATCCGTGAAGGTTGAATGAAAAGAATTTGAGGCCCGCAGGGCTGCGCAACGTCCGGCCGCTCGGGAGACTCCCAACTTGGCGCGCTGCCGTTCTCCAGGACGCCGTAGGGGAAAGGAGTCGGTTTTGGTCTGAAAATGATTGGCCCTCGGTTACGACAAGACCTTTGCGCCGTGAGATTTTTGCTCGTGTGAAAGGGCCGTCTTGCGAGCCGCAAATGTCCGTCGAGACCAATTCAACAGCGCCTGTGCCGCTCGCGGCCGCGACTTTGCTTTTCCGTTCTCGTGGATCGAGTGGCCGCGTGGTACGTTTTGTTCTCCCAACGAAAGCCGTTCCGCTTCCAAGTGGTCGCGCGGAGACGCGACCAGCTTTGTCCGATCTTGACCTCCGCGACCTGAAGTTGCGCTGTTGTGAGAAACGGACGTTTGCTTTGATTCCGCTCGCTCTCAAGATTTCGACTGTGGGCTCGCGCGCCATCTTTGCTGCATGTGGCTACTTTCGGATCAAGCCGTTGACATTTCCTGAGCACGCCTTCCTGTCCTCAAGTGCGCCTTCCCGAAGGCTCGGTTGACAAATCTCCGGAAATCGGCAGCCGCCAACCTGTTTTTTTTTTTTATTTGCGTCACGGACCAGTCAAGACAAGTCGTTTGCAGACACCGAAAGGCCGTTTCCAAATAACAAAGTTCTTTTGTGTGTGTGTGTCTCCCGCAGCGTGGGTGGGCTCCCTCTCCATGGGGATGATCTTCTTCTGCTCTCCGATCGTCAGCGTTTTCACGGATATCCTGGGCTGCCGAGTGACCGCCGTCGGCGGAGCGGCCGTCGGCCTGGTGGGCCTCCTGGCTAGCTCTTTTGTCACGTGAGCAAAATAGGAACTCCGGTGTCAGAATTGAAGCGGAACCTTGCCAGGTTTCGGTGCAATTTGTCATCGATGAACTTTGACGACGACTTCTCTTCGATGAGTATGACGGGAATTACTCTGGCCCCCGTGATTCCCTCCCCTTGTTGTATGGCCACGAAGAAAGTTGCTGTCCGCCTGTGTCGTTCCAAAGCGGAAACCGTTGATTTTTATGTGCGTGCGCGGTCACATGATGGCCTCCGGGAGAACACGTAGCTGCGTGATTTTTTTCCCCATAAGAGGAGAGGCGGCGTCCGCGGCACTTTGTTGTTGGTCGTATTTTTGCAAACTCGCGCCAACATGTTGCAGTATCCGATCCTCCGGAAGGGGGGACACCCCCCCCCCCGCCTCCTTCGCTTCTGCACACCTTCCAAGTATTCAAAATAAGTCATGAAACAATAAAGTGCTTATCGAGCGACTGTTGAACCGCGTCCAGTCATGGATGCGAGCGTTTACCGTTTGCCTTACGGAGCTGAAAGTGCAAGGTGCAAGCTTCCCCGCTCGTATGACTTTGCTATTGGGATTTGTTGACTCCATCAGAACTTTGGACCCACCCCGTGGGCGCCAATCTGTACGTGTCGTTTCTGTGCTATTGATTTCATTCATTTGAAAGGAAAAATATGATGGGTGTGCGCGTGTATGTTTCAAATGGTGACGGGGCTCCATCGTGTCCTCTCTGCTGCGGTGCCGCGTGCACGTTTGCTGAGGTGCTCTCATTTCTTGCTCGGCCTCAATATCTGCTCTGCTCCGCAATAACGCTTACTGGGGCAAAGAGCCAAATTCTGACAAGCAAATACAGACGACCTCGGTCCGTTTGCAATGTTTGTCGTTCGGTTGACTTGATGCGATTTTTTTTTTGTTTGTTTTTTGACACGTCTGTCTTTGAACTTCCGGTTCCGGGTCGCTGCGCTGTGGTCGACGTCCGGAGCGGTTTTTCTTACTTGCGATTTTTTTGTGTTTGTTTTTTGACACGTCTGTCTTTGAACTTCCGGTTCCGAGTCGCTGCGCTGTGGTCGACGTCCGGAGCGGTTTTTCTTACTTTTCTTGCGATTTTTTTGTGTTTGTTTTTTGACACGTCTGTATTTGAACTTCCGGTTCCGGGTCGCTGCGCTGTGGTCGACGTCCGGAGCGGTTTTTCTTACTTGCTTTTTTTTCCCACATTTCTCACCTACACTCCGTGCTTTTCCTAGCTCCACAGGCCCGCGTTACTTTAGCGCGGCTGTTCGAGCTATTAATTCCGCACTCTTCCCCCTTCGATTATCTTTTTTCATTCATTCGTTAGCCCCGGTGCTAACAGCGAGCGAGTGCTACAGCTAGCACCTTCAGCTAGCCCGGTGCTCATGGCGAGTGCTCCTAGCCGGTGCTAACGACATCAACACTGCACCTCCACCATATTTTTGGCTCAACTCAACTTAAGACTTACACCAAATATGACCACCTACACGAGGGATGGAAAGAGCGTGCCCCACCCCCCCCCCCCCCCCCGCGCAGGTCTTTAGGGCCCATGTACTTCACGTACGGCATCGTGTTCTCCTGCGGCTGCTCCTTCGCCTACCAGCCCAGCCTGGTGATTCTGGGCCACTACTTCAAAAAGCGCCTGGGCTTGGTGAACGGCATCGTGACGGCCGGCAGCAGCATCTTCACCATCACCCTTCCCTTCGTGCTGTCGGGCCTGCTGGACAAAGCGGGCCTGCAGAACACCATGCGCGTCCTCTGCATCTTCATGTTCGTGCTGATGTTGGCCGGCCTCACCTATAAGCCTCTGCTGCCTCGCAAGCCCCGAAGCGCGCGGGGCTCTTGCCCGCCCCTGAGCCAGATCTTCAACCTCAACATTTGGAAATCGCTGGGATATCGCATCTGGGCTTTCGGCATCCCGGCGGCCCTTTATGGCTACTTTGTGCCTTACGTTCATCTGGTAAGCCTCGCCGTATCCGTCGCTGTTGACCGACGTTTGCCAAATCCCGCCCGCTTCCTTCGGCGGCGATCCGAATGACCTCGTCGTCTTTTGACGATGTTGACTGCCGCGGGGGGGGGCGCAACGCTGTGAGCAAGTGCGTCAATTCCCGCTCGCTTAATGCAGAGATGTCAACATTTCGGTCCAACGTCCGGCTCGCACGCTTTGATTTCTCACGCTATGAAAAAGTACCACTGGGGGACGAGGGGGGGGGGGGGGGGGGGGGGGGTGGTGGATGAGGTTTTGTCATTGTTCAAAAGGGGGGCTGCTGTTTCAGCACTCTGAATGGACGTTGCTGCCGTTCGTCAGATTGCGGCCAAACACGCTTCCCTCGAGTGCGCGCTCTGTCGAGTGTGGGGGTGGGGATGTGTGTGGGGGGGGGCTTGTTTTGTTGTGTGTGTACCTCGAGTGAGCGCCTCTTTACTTGAGAACTTCCTTAAGTACACATTAGTGATGTAACATTGAATTACCGCTGTCTTTCGTTGGGTACTTGCGCTCTTCATTTGTCACTGTGAGCGATGCACGGCTGTACCAACTCCCCCATGCTTGCCACAAAAAAAAAACACACACACACACACACAAAACAGGCCTCAGTGGTGTGAGAGCGCACAGGAAAAGAAGAATGCATGCAACATGAAATCATGTTGTTGTGAAGCCACCACGAAGGTCTTGCTCCGAAATGAGTCCCGATTCTCGCGCACAATGTCAACAAATTGGAATGTGAGCATTTTGGAAGCCTTTTTTTTGCCTTTCTATCAGCTCTCGCGTCCAAAAGATATCGGCCCAGAGATTCATTTTGACATATGGAAGGCATCAAACCGAAGAGCCTGACAAAAATATGCTTTTTTGCTTTTTTTTTTGTGCTCCCCAGATGAAGCACGTGGAGGAGCGCTTTGGGGAGGATTCCAATAAAGAAGTTCTGCTCATGTGCATCGGCATCACATCCGGCATCGGACGGCTCATCTTTGGTCGGGTGGCTGACTACATTCACGGGGTCAACAAAGTTTACCTGCAGGTATGTCCCCTGGCCCCAGGGAGATCAAAACCGAGACCCGGACGATGATATACTGTCGTGTGCGGCAGGGCGAGGACGTTCTTGTCAGGTCTAGAAATGTACACTTTGAATCAAATCAAGGGGTAGAGTTATATTTGAGGTACCGACAACTAAGCGGAGGCTCCGAGGGGGCCGCCCCCTCTCTTTGGGCAAGCCCCCTCGCCGGCCAGCTTTCAAACTCGTCTTCAAGCTCATTTGGCGTCTTTGGCTTTTGACTCCGCACGAGACTTGACTTGGAGTTGGACTCTTTTTGTGCTTTCTATGTGAGAGCGCACAGGAAAAGAAGAATGCATGCAACATGAAATCATGTTGTTGTGAAGCCACCACGAAGGTCTTGCTCCGAAATGAGTCCCGATTCTCGCGCACAATGTCAACAAATTGGAATGTGAGCATTTTGGAAGCCTTTTTTTTGCCTTTCTATCAGCTCTCGCGTCCAAAAGATATCGGCCCAGAGATTCATTTTGACATATGGAAGGCATCAAACCGAAGAGCCTGACAAAAATATGCTTTTTTGCTTTTTTTTTTGTGCTCCCCAGATGAAGCACGTGGAGGAGCGCTTTGGGGAGGATTCCAATAAAGAAGTTCTGCTCATGTGCATCGGCATCACATCCGGCATCGGACGGCTCATCTTTGGTCGGGTGGCTGACTACATTCACGGGGTCAACAAAGTTTACCTGCAGGTATGTCCCCTGGCCCCAGGGAGATCAAAACCGAGACCCGGACGATGATATACTGTCGTGTGCGGCAGGGCGAGGACGTTCTTGTCAGGTCTAGAAATGTACACTTTGAATCAAATCAAGGGGTAGAGTTATATTTGAGGTACCGACAACTAAGCGGAGGCTCCGAGGGGGCCGCTCCCTCTCTTTGGGCAAGCCCCCTCGCCGGCCAGCTTTCAAACTCGTCTTCAAGCTCATTTGGCGTCTTTGGCTTTTGACTCCGCACGAGACTTGACTTGGAGTTGGACTCTTTTTGTGCTTTCTATTGTCTTTCATGAGTCATTTGTTGTTGTCGGAATGATTTTAAGCCCCGTGTTGTCGACAGCGGCGGTTGTTTGAAAGAGCTCTCGAAATACACTCGAGTTGAGTATAAATGTGTGGCTCCGAAACTGGTTCTCATGTTGGTTGAGCTCAAACAAGACATCGATCAGCAAGATCCCGCGGGCGTGTCACGATGGGGCGTCGATGAGGAAAAACTGAGCACGGGCAATGACTGCATCCTCGCAGGTGACTTCCTTCTTTGTGATTGGCCTGATGTCGATGATGATCCCGCTTTGCAACATCTTCGGAGGGCTGATCGCCGTGTGTCTGCTGATGGGGATGTTTGACGGCTGCTTCATCTGCATCATGGCGCCCATCGCCTTTGAGCTGGTCGGAGCCGAGGACGTGTCCCAGGCCATCGGCTTCCTCTTGGGCCTCATGTCGGTGCCCATGACTGTGGGACCCCCGATTGCAGGTTGGACACAGATGCAGATCTTTTTCTATCACGCCAGTAGTAATACAATGATCACACACACACGGACACACACATATATATATATATATATATAAAGATGACACAAAAGGAAACTGAGGTGTTATCCTTTTAATCATGAATGAGTTTTTTTTGTATCTTTGAATATAGAGAAAGTTTTACGGTATATAAACAAATGTATTAGTATGAAGGGCATCTATTTTTCGGACACCCTCACTTCTCACTCTGCCCACCTTCACCTTTTTAACTAACCTTGCAGCCCATGCCAAATATCATTTTTAGTATATATATCTTGTTTGGTTTTTTTTTTTTTTTTTTTAAGTCATGTTGTGGGCCGCTGAAAGATGGATGGTGGGCCGCAAATGGCCCCTGGGCCATAGTTTAGGCACCCGTTTTTTAGCTTCTCTTTGCTGGACTAAAATGTCACCACGTCCTGAAGACTTTTAGGCAAACTTTTCTCCCAGATTTTGTGAATTAAATATTGTGCAAGTTTCAAGATGTTAATAAAGCATTTCTTGGAGCTTTTTTTTTTTTTTTTTTTTAATGGATGTGTGGCTGGACCAATATTTTTTTAAATAACTCTGGGGGAAAAAAAGAGCCTCAAATGAAAGAATGGGCAGTGGAGTTGCACCAACTAGTGTTGGGTTTGGCACATGACATGCCTCGATCTTTTTTTTTTTACAAGACAAGCGTTCCTCCGGATGAAAGGAGACCTTTTCTGTTTTGTTCTCTGACAGCTTGCACGCGTTTTAGTTCTCGAGGCGCTCTCCATCCGATCGCTTCATCGGAAAATAGCGCGCGGCTGCGATTTTGAGCCGGGGGCTGTCGGCGCTGATCGCCCTCCTCTGTTTGGCAGGCTTCCTCAGGGATCGGCTGAACAACTACAACTTGGCCTTCTACCTGGCAGGCATCCCCCCGCTCATCGGAGGGGCGATGCTGTGTCTGATCCCGTGGGTGGAGGCCAGGAGCAAGAGAGCCAAGGAGGAAGCCCTCAAGGACGTCAACCAGAAGATGTTGGCGCACGAGAAGCCTCAGGAAGAGCCGCAAGGCAAAACTGGGGAGTCCATCCTCTAATCGGCGCTCGGCCGCGCGACGGGGTCCGACCCAAGCGGTTTGGGCGCCGCCGGTTCAAGAGCCCGACCAGTGCCTTCCGGAGCAGGTCTTGCAAATGCCAAAAGTGAGGGAACGGCGGTTGAAGTACTTTAATTGAACGTGATCGATCACGAGGAACTATGCAATGAAATTTGAAGTCTTAAAATGTGGAAAACTGCTTTTGTCTTGAACGGAGAGCGAAAGGAAAGCGGCGTGAGAGCCGACGCTTTTAGCCGTCCCCTTTCCACTCATGTTCACCACCGATGACGCCCTCAAGGGAAGGTCTTGTTTCAATGCCCCCCCACCCCCAACCCCAAAGAAAAAAAAGACCGCTCTTCTTAACATTCTTAATTGTGATGATGTTCAGAGAGCGGCTCTTCAAAAGCACATTTCAACAAGCCGCGTCAGTCTTTTCATGCAACAGTAACGGTTGCCCAATTGCACGCCATTAACCGTCAGAGGTCGTCGTCGTCATCCACCCCAGAATGTTCTGAAGCCACACACCTTGCAGCCACGTGTTCTTTGCTCATACGCTCGGATTTCAAATTGCATGGAACGCCATACGACACAAAGAGTGTGGTTTGGGAAACACAAAGAACTCGAGATGAACAAAGGTGTCAAAGCCAGACGTGAAAGCAAGTCAAAAGCCCGCCAAAGACAAACCGTGGCAGGGTTTTTAACTTCCTGGTCCTGGATTTGACACCTCTGAAGATTGAGCAGATTGTAACAAGGTCCAAGATGGAAACAACAGGCGAAGGGCCTTAAAAGAATCGCTTGACCAAAGTAACACCCTGAATATGAGGCCATCAAATAGACAATGTGCGTTAAAATCCTAGATTTCCAAACCGCATGTGTTTTCACCTCTTGGGCGTGTCCACGTTCATGCACGTGGTTGGCAGAAGTTTGGATGGGAGAATACATCGAAATGAAAAGTAGTCCATTGGAGAATCTGGCCCTTAGTGACGTCAAATTGAATCGTTAGCTCAATGCGCAGTTTCCTGAATGTGAGTCGAATTGGTGTTTTATTTATTTCCGTGTGCTGGTGCCAAATGCTGTAACTTGTTGGCATTTGCTGATAACGAGAGACCATGGGACGAGCATTCTCAACCTAAAGACCACATCAAGTACCAATGATGATGATGATGATGATTGTTGTTGTGGCGGGTCCTTTTTGCTTAACAGAACTGTGACACGCATTACCTCAGATGTGGAAAATGTCGAGCTGCACATGCTGACATAGCGTCCGTCCGTCCGTCCTTGAGAGGCGTCCTTCCTGTTTTCGTGTCCGAATGACATGCAGAGTCATGGGAACCCATCGAAGCGTTTTACATCTGTTGTGTTTACATATTTCCAACGCTGTTCTATCATTCCGTTTTATGAGCCTAATTGCCTCTATTCAGGTCAGTCCTTTGACCGGTCGGATATTTCCTTGCTTATAAACTGCTGCTTATGTTTGCCATCGCTTTGCCCTGCGCTTTGAATGTGCATAAGTGTCATTTGCCCCCCCCCCCTCCCCCCAATGCTCTCGACATAGGATCCGTGTTGCCCAAAGAGACGATGAGTGTAAAATGTAAATAGTTTTGATTTTTCTCTGCTGTGATTACTTACAAGTGCCTTAAAAAAATGCCTTGCCTTTCCACGGAACACGTTTTCAGTTTTTAAAGTGTCTGGGCTAACATGCGCTTTTCCACCTTTTGAAATCATATTTCTGATGATCTTTTATGACGTATGCTTTTGTCTTCTTTGTACTTTCAACTATCCACTACAGCGCGTGTGTACGTTTAGGACTCGCGCCAATTATAGATCCAAGATTGGGTATAAAGCCAACTAATTTCCGTCCCTTTTACGTAGCCCCAACCTATGACGAAATGCTCAGTTGACATTTTATTTGCTGTGCCAGGTTTTACCCTGTCAAATTCCAAGTATCTTTGTAATGTTGTCTGGAGCAGGATAATGTCATTATGAAAAGGAATTTATGAAAACTGTCATGTCAACGAAGTTTGAAAAAAAAAAAGAAAAAGTTAAAACGTTTTCTGTGACTTTCTCCTTATTTATCCACCCGTGTGTGTGTGTGTGTGTGTGTGTGTGTGTGTTTGTTGAGCTGCTTCTTTGTCCCTGCTTAACAGGTAACCGCTGCGGGCAATTGGGTGGCAGAAATGTGTGTCTGTCGCAGTAAGTACAAACAAAAATCCTGTAAGACGGAAGAGTTGACAAATATTGATTCGTCCACAGGAGAAACTTTATGACGTGACCAAAGCTTACTTTGGGCTACGTTATCCAATGAACTCATGGGGATGAAAAGCTTGTGGCATTCTTTCAAACACTAGAGGTCGCCAGGTTTCCTACAAAGACATGAACGAATACAACTCAAAACGGGAAAATACTAAAGAGCTCCCACTCCGACCATTTATGAATACCGCGAGCTCTCGATACCACGTGGCGCTGCTGCTCAAGATACTTCCCAACGGATACGCTGAAAATGTCTTTCAAAGCTGGATCATAATAGTGACGGTTACTTCGAAACCGTAATTACGTCTCCTTTTGACGCAACCCCCCAAACGAGGGTAGTACGCCATCGTCCGATTTCGGGAGTTGTCTTTGAATAGACGATCTTTGCTTCGGATTCACCCCAGCCCCAACTCGCTGACGCAGGGCGGCGCGGTGCTCTTCGCTGTCACCTCTGACCCGCCCCGCCGTTGACGGGATGACTGACGAGCCGGGAGCCTTCGCCTCGTCGTTTGAGGAGGAGGGAGCTTCACCTGCCGAGTGAAAGGCGACGAGCGAGGCTCGCCCATTTGCAATGGCCTTCGACTTGTAGCGGCCGTGAGAGATTTCCCGACCCCGTCAAGTGACGACGACACCGGTGAGCGCCGATGTCTGCCGCGTCTTCGCCCGCAGCCGCCGCGGTGAAAAAGAAGCACGTCCGCTTCGCCAGCATGGACGACGAGCAGGAAGAGGACACCTTGTTTGACAAGAGGAAGGACGCCGAGCGAGGCGGTCTCAAGAGTGCGCTCAAGGCGGCCAAGAGGAAGACGAAAGCGGGATGCGGCGACCGGGTGAAAGTGGTCGGAGGGGGCGGACGCGCGTCGTGCGGCCGCTGGATGGTCAGCCTGACACTCTGCGCGTCTTTTCTGGGCCTGGTAAGAAGACATCGGCGGCGGCGTCGTCGTCGTCGTTGAATAAACTATCAAAAATGAACGGGTTGTGGACAGAAAAGGGGGGCGTGGGACATCGCAGTCTTTTGAACAAGGTAGCAGTAACGGGGCGGTGCATCCACAGAGAGACCCCCCCCTCCCACTCCCCAAAAGCAATCAGGATAGAAGGGAAACAACATTGCGTAAAACTGAACTTTAAAATTCGAGCTATGGGGCATATGAAAAAAGCACCTCACCGATTTGCATATCAAAGGTCATGACCTCAGCCTTTTTTTACTTTTAGGGGATGGGTATCTCGGTGATCGGACCCACGTTTGAGGACCTGGCTTCAAACGTGAAGAAGGACATCAGCAATATTTCCTACATCTTCGTCGGCCGGTCTGCAGGCTACATCGGCGGCTCACTTTTGGGAGGTGTTCTTTTTGACTGTCTGAACCCCAATCTGCTGCTAGGTAAGCCCCGCTCACATCCAGTCTCAACGACGGCACGGTTTTCCTAAAGCGCATTTTGTTGGCTTTCCAGGTTTTTCGATGCTGATCACGTCGTGCGGAATGTGCGCTATCCCTTTTTGCAAACATGCCCTGCTGCTCACCGGCTTCATGTCCAGCATCGGCATCTCGATGGGGATTCTGGACACAGGTAGGACAACAGCTGGAAAACTACAAGCCATGTTCCCCAACACGATTAGGATTTTTTTTTTTGGTCTTGTACGTGACCGAGCCTTGGCTATGCCTTTCGGAATCAACCGGAACCGCCGTTTTGTTGACATAGTAACTGGTTGGGCGAGTCCACTTTCGATGACAATTCCAACTTGACGAAACGCTCGTTGTCTCTTTGGATCAAATCAAAGCTTTCAATTCCGCTTCCCGCTAATCGAGGTGGGAGTCTTTCTGTCTATGGCCTGATTTCCAAATGCTTCCAAGCCGAGCCGTTGAGTCGATTGGGATGCGCGTTTCCTCGTAAAGACCACGATTGAAACTCCCCGGGATTTGTGCAAAGCCTTTGTTTTGCTATCCGGCAGGTGGGAACGTCCTCATACTGCAGACGTGGGGCGAGCAGGCCGGACCCCACATGCAGGCTCTCCACTTCAGTTTTGCCGCCGGCGCCTTTGCGTCGCCAATCATCGCCAAGCTGCTGTTGGGCCACCACGGCAACAGCAGCGGCGGCGGCGGCACGGCAAGCGTCTCGAGCAACGCCACGTCCCCCGTCGCCACGTGGCCCATCGCGAACGACGATCACGCCATCGTCCGGCTGGTCCGCGGCGGCGGCGGCAACCCGACATCCATGTGGGCCAACGTCGTGATCGGCCTGTTCGTCCTCCTCACCTCCGTCCCGTTCTTCCTGCTCTCCGTCGGCGGCGACGCGTCGCGCGACAAAGGCCGGCAGCCCTCGGCGAAGCCCCCGGTGGCCCGACACCACACGGCGCTCGTGGCCCTGCTCTTCTTCTTCTTCTTCGCCTACGTCGGCGCCGAGGTGGCCTACGGCTCGTTCATTTTCACCTTTGCCAAGGATTTTGCTCAGATGACTCAGTCCCAGGCGGCCGGCTTGAATTCGTTATTCTGGGCCACGTTTGCCGCCTGCCGGGGGCTGGCCATCTTCTTCGCGTCCTGCATGTACCCGGGCACCATGATCCTGCTCAGCCTGGTGGGCACCACGCTGTCTTCCCTCTTCCTCTGCCTCTTTAGCAAGGACAAAGCCATGCTGTGGATTTGCACGGCCTTCTACGGGGCTTCCATGTCCTCGACTTTCCCCAGCGGGATTTCCTGGCTGGAGCAGTACACCACCGTAACGGGTCGCTCGGCGGCGGCCTTCGTGGTGGGCGCCGCCCTGGGCGAGATGGCGTTGCCCGCTCTTGTGGGCTTCCTGCTCGGAAAGATTCACGGACACCCCTTGCTGATGTACGTGTCGCTGGGCACGGCGACCTTCACCGCCATCCTTTTTCCGGTCATGTACAAGCTGGCCTCCGTCTCCGCCGGCCCCGTCAGAAAACGCCACAGGAGGGGGCCGCCCGACGCCGACGACAGCGAGTACCGACGGGCGCTGCTGGATTCGGGAGCGATTGATGAGGAGGAGGACGAGGAGGAGAACGACGCCGATCAGTGGAACGATGCGGACTTTGAAGTCATCGAAATGGACGACACGGCGAGTCTCGTCGGTTCGCCCGGTAAGGCGGCTTCTTCCTCCAACCCCGATGGTGGCGCGGCTTCCTCCGGCACGCAGATGAGCGAACCTGCAAAGGAGTCCTCGTCATCCGACGCCATTTCCCTGGTGGGAGACTCCCCCAAACGCAAACTGCTGCTCTTTGCTGACAGAGTCAAGAGAGACTGAAATCTCCTTTTCAGATTTCCCAACACCTGATTTTAACCACGATTTGTCATCACCTGCGGACAGAGATGTTGACCAGCAAAGAAGAAGAAGAAGAATACCCTGCCTGGCCAGAAATGGCGCCTGTCGATTGTTTGGCTTTGACCCGTTCACCGGCAGCCCGGTTCAAACGGATCTTGGACTTGGAAAGCCATCAATGGCGGCGGCCGAGTTCATTTGAGTCTCCGGCGATTAAAAACGAAGGACGTGCAGACGTCAACGCCGATTCTGACCCACTTCTTCTGTTTACAAGTCAACTCTAGGCGAAGTTCCATCCATCTGTTTTCCATCAGTCAAAACAGAATAGAAAATGGAAAACAATGCATCGGCCCCTCAAATTTGATGCCAACGAATGCTCGAGCGGCAAAATGCCATCGTTTTTGTGTGTGCTAAGTGTATCATCACTGTGATTCAACCTTTTAGGTTAGAAAAAAAAACATTTGAATGCGAGAACTTTTTATTCAATCAATTTCAACCCACAGCAATAGCATTTTTTTTTCTTTTTACATTTTTACTAACAACAGATATTCAGATCTTGACATGGTTTGATGACAGACAGCACAGAGTTTGAAACATACTTACCAGTAATGCACAGATAGACGTTATCAAAACAGTATTGCAACAGTCCCTGGTTTAGAAAACAAAACAAACAAAAAAAAAAAAAACGCTCGAATTTCATACGAGATGAGCAAGAAGCTCAAACGGGCATGAATACAATCAAAATGGCATCCCTCAAGAGAATGTACAAAAACAGCATTCAAGCTGCGGATGGAACCGGTTTCATGTCGATACAGTGAGAATGGAAAATGACTTGTACATGCTTCCGTACATTAAACTGGAGTCCGATGTCCCGTTAGTCATCCAGTTGGCAATGACGTGTGCGATGTGGCAGCTTCACATCATTGCCAACTTGATGAATGAATGGACATGGCGCTAAATGGTGAATGTTGTAGTCAGACTTTTTTTTTTTGTGTGTGGGTTGGGGGGAAGGGGGGAGGGGGCCTCAGCTTGGCCGCAGCAGCTGGCGACAGCCACAATCAACAAATAAGCACGGATTGAATGAAACGTAGTGATGCCCTATGAGGGAGGTTCAAACGAGACGATACTTGTATAACAAATACTCTTGAGTAGGTAACGGGACACGATGACAACCCAGCAGGGTTCAGTTGAAGCACCGTTGAAATGTTTGGAAGTCAACACCGAAATGATGATGATGATGATGATGGCGGCGGCGGCGGAGCGGCCGTTAGCACCAAAGTGAGCCGCCACGTCGGGTGGCGGTCACAAGTCGTCGAGCAGCTGTCGGAGGTACGGCGCCTTGGAGAGCTGCCGGCTCACCCGAGTCAGCTTGTGGAGGACGGGGCAGTCCAGCGACACGCACGGCACCTGCCGCTCGGCGCAGCCGCTGCAGTTCTTGCAGATCTACGCGAGCGAGAGGCGACAACGGTAAGAACGCGTCGGCGCTCGGCTCCGGCCCGCTCGGACGTCCGCGCGACGTCGCCGTACCTCGAGTAGCCGGTCCTGTTCTCTCTCTCGTTGTCCGATGTCCTGCTGGAGGGTGACGGCCACGCGCTGGGGCGACGCCCGGCAGCGCGAGCACACGCCCAGCTGGGTGAGCTCGTCGCACACGGGACAGTGGAGCGTGGTGAAATACTGCGAAATGGTGCCCTTCCTCGCAACGCCCTCGCCGCCGACGCCTGATGAGCACGAGGCCTTCTGGATCTGGACAGAAAAGGGGGATGTTGCCATTGGATGAGACCGCCGCCACTTCCCAGGACAGGAGTCTCGAAGGTCTCAAGATTGATTGTTTCCAAACGGCAGACAGACTAGTTGTCCATATTTTGCATGCTCTTGTTTGTGTGTTACAGGTCAACAGTTAGTTCACATCCATGCTAACTTCCTTTAGCCTTCCGAGGGTCTTTTGCGCGACACAATTATATGGTTTGGTTTCAAATGTACAGCGTTTAACTGTCTTTTTTGATGGGTCAAGTTTAACAGTTTAACTGGGAATGAGGAAAAAGCTTGAAGAGAGCCTTTTTTTTTTTTCATGTCACGTCTCTTTGTTGATGTCGGGAGTGAGACTCAGGAAGACTTTAAAAAGTGTGATTTACGAGCATTAAGTGTGACCTGTCAGCTTTAATGTGTTTAAAGTAAGTAGTAAGCCTAATCAAGATGCGGCAACACATCTCCCGAGTTTCAAGTTCCAAACTGTCGTGCGACTGTTTACATGGCGGTTCACCAGCAGGGGGCGTGTGTGCTCCCTCAGAGAGCAGCACTTTGTGCACTACACTCCCTCTTTTGTTCTCAATTAATGACCCTGCCTTGAGGACGAAACAGGAAACGGCGGGGGGGGGGAAGCTCCGCGGTCTGTAAGCCGCCTCACCCGGGGAAGCTCCTGGTACCAGCTGAGCACGTCGACACCAATCAGCTGGAACATGCGGCCCAGCGGAGGCAGGATTTGCTTGGTGATGTAATAGGAGGCGTTGAGGCGGAGGCCGGGGTCCTGCAGCACTTCCAGGGGCCGGCGGACGAGCTGGATGAGCGGCACGCCGGGCATCCCGTACACGATGACGTAGGGCACGCGCTCCCCCACGCGAGGCTCCAGGCGACGGTCGTACGCCATCATGCGCCTGCGGCACAACACGGACCGGGGCATGACGAGCAACCCATCGCATGTCGCGCGACATGTATTCTTTTCATCGGTCAGGAACCCCCCCCCCCCCTTCCAAACGCAAATGAAAGTGATTTGCAATGGGCCTAACACGCACGTGCCTGAGCTCATCATGCAAAATTGGCGATGTGGAACCATAAGAGTCCACACCCGCGCGGGAGTAGTTAGACGGCCACAAACGTCATACGTAGGTTTCGACTTGAATTGGGCGCTCGGAACTGCGGTGGCAATTCGGTTTTAGGTGCGCCTCAGCAACCTGGCTTGCGCAGCCTTTACAAGCCACGTTGCTAGGCAACAGACGAACGCGTAGCCAGACGACGAGCGGCGGGAGGATTGAGCGCAACAGCAGGAGACGACGCGCTTTTCCTTGCTCTCTAACGCAAATGCAAATGCGCTCGTGTTTTCCCACAGATGGAAAGAAGCCCGCATGCGCTCCCCGACGACGAAGAACAGCGTGTCGGATTGGGCCCGACAAACTGCGGTTGGCGTTCCCCCGTGCTGCGTTTGCCTTTGCCGGTAAATAAGAAACGGTGGAAAAGTCAATGGGGTGCATTAGGAGCAACCTCGAGCCCAAACCTTTGGCGTCTGCCTTTTTTCTGTATTCCGCGAGCGCAGAAGCAGACAACACACCTGGTGAGCTCCAGCGCAGGGACGCAGGCACCGGGCCGGTAGGAGGCGCCGCCTCTGTATTCCTTGGCAAAAGTGAGGTCCTGCACGCTGGCCCGCCCGTCCAGAACCTTCACGCACTGGCGCTGAACAAACTGCTTGACCTGGCTGATGTCCCGCGTCTCAAAGAGCAGCTTGACGGAGCGCTCCAGAATCTCGAGAGGAATAGAAGAGGATTCGTTTCAATCAAGAATTTCACCTTTCGATACAAGGTGTGTACGTGTATCGTAACGTCGGGACGTTGAAGGAATAGTGACGGACCGAGAGTCAAAGGCTGGCAAAGGTGTGGGATTGTGGAGCGCTGAAAGAGTGGGAAGACAGGAAAGGGAGCAAAGGGCTGCGTCGGAGCGGTTACCTTGGAAACAGCGGGGCAGCCATCGCGTCGTACCGTCTCGATTCCTTTGGCGTCGAAGACCGGCTCCTTTTGGCCGAGGCTCTCGTACATGTAGCCCACGTAGCGCTTCTTTGTCTGCAGCACGCAGGGCAGGTACACCTGAGGCAGACCCCCGTCAGCTATCTCCACGCACGTGAATCCGGCGCGCTGCTTTCGATTACCTTCTCAAATTTCAGCTTGACTGGCTTTGGGTTGGTCGCGGTCACCGCCTCGGCGATCTCTTCGCCGATCTTAAAGGCCTGCTCTTTGGTGGCGCCTTTCAACAAGACGAACATGCTGCCCGACGGGAAGCGTCATGTTATTTCCGATTTTTCCGTCTCGACGTTCCCGATTCACACACGGAAATGCCCCAAAGCGTTAAAAGCGGCCGAGGTACGGGCAACATCGTGATCGGTAGACGCGCGGAGAAACCGTTCATCGCCCATGTTGCTGTTTCGGGGCAAGACGGCGACAAAAAGGAGAGAGTACCTGTCGGTGTCTCCATACACCACGCGCGCTCCCCACTTTTTCGTGTCATTGACCAGCTTGATGGCTCTCTCCAAAGTTTCTCGGGCTTTGTGGACGATGCTGTCTCCCACCTGAAATTGCAGAAAAACAAAAACGAAATTGATTACCTAGGGTTAGAACTGCCGCTTTAGACTGCTCCGATGGCCCTTTCCCAGCGCGCTTGTGCTCGTGCTAGTAGCTAGTTCCGGGTCGGTGCTCGAGCCCGACTCTGGCAACCCCCCCCCCCCCACGTTGGGACACGCCTCCTTTCGGGGCTCACCTCCACGCTGGGCATGCGTCCAGAGTAGTTGGCCGCGGCGTAGCCGAAGGTGACGTTGGCGATGAGCTTGAGTCCGAGCTGACGAGCGTCCAGCAGCTTCATCAGCGCTTTTTCTTGCTTGTAGGCTTTCATCGACTGCTTCACCATGATGCGCGTGCGCAGGATTTCCTCCAGCATGCTGGGAAGGACGCCTTTCCGCACCGACGACTGCAAAGAGGAGAGGGAGAGGCCCCGAAGGCGTGAGGTGACAGCGCTTTGGGAACATCGCTCTTTTTGCAGGTGAGACAGTCAGTGAAGAAAAGGTTTTGTCCTCGGGGTCTTTCTAGAACCGAAGCTGAAAGGAATTGTCGGGGAACTCGCGTTTCACCTTCAATGATGAGAATCACGGTGATCGACCTTGATCAATGTCAATTCAAAATACAGATCCCCAAAGCAAGTTTGTCAGTCGTTCAATGTCGTACCTTGACGAAGGCGATGCCGTTGGGTGACACGCTGATATCGTTTCGAAGCTGGTAGAGGAGTTGCGGGGAAACGCGCAAGGAGGTGCAGCCAAACTTAAACTCATCTGTCCTGAAAGAGACACATCAACGAACAACGCATCCTCTTAAACCTTCGCAAGATAAAGTACAAACCTTTCCTAACGTCCGGATTTCTTGACTCTCAAAGACGACAGCGCAGGGGCGGCCAACCGTTTTTACAACGCGCATGAAACAAATTCGGAATGAGAATCCGAACAATTCCAAAGATCAACGGCAAGAATTCTGAACCCGCTTTTCGATTTTGGCCGCGCGAGCCCGTCCCGTCCCGTCCTTACGTTCCCAAGTCGTCCACGTGGCCGAGGCAAGTGGAGTAGCAGTAATTGTACGCGATGACGATGGAGGGATAGAGCGACTGGAAGTCCAGGACCACCACCGAGTTGCTGTAAAAGCGCGACTCGGGCTCCATCACGAGGGGCAGGCACTGAGGCGCCCGCTGCTGCGCTCGTTGCTGGATGCTGGGTGTCACCGGGATGTAGTTGAGCGGCTTGGCCACCCGCAACATCATGGACTCAACGCGGTACTGCGGGGAGAAGAGCAGGGAAAACGAGATTGATTCCCGCTCAGTGACTGTAGATATGCCACTGTGAATGCTTATCAGTTCATCGGTTAAAAAAAAAAAAAAAAAAAAAAGGAGTGGTGTGGAGAAGAAAAAAAAAATGCATGGATGGAAAGAAACGAGAGCTTTGCGTCGGTACCTGTGAGCCTCGCGTGAGAACGTGGAAGAACTGAATCCCAAACACTCTGGCCAGCTCGCTGGTCCTGCCGATGACGTCGCGCTGCAGCAGAAGTTGCATGGTGCCGTGCACTCGGCTCACATAATGGTCCACCATCTTCCATCTATCACAAATGCACGGCAAAAAAAAAAAAAATGTCGATCATGTCGATCAATTCAAAGCTGTGCTTTATTAGAGCTGAGCAATAAAACAACTTTCTAAATAAATGCACGAAAATTCATTTCAGACCAATGGGGAAAAAAATGGGGGCCATTTATATCATGGTGTGGGCCTGGTGTGGGGGGGGGGGGGTTCGCGAGGAGAAACGCTACAAATCATCTTCGGCGTGTGCAGTGTCAAAAACAAACCTGTAGAGGTCGGTGTTGTGATCAAACCAGTCCGACAACGTGCGGGGGCTGTACAGGGGGAAGCGCTGGTGGAGCACATGAAAGGCCACGTTTTCATAAGTGTAGTTGTTTAGCGTCACCTGGGAAGGGTAGGAGGCCAGGGAAGAAGAAGAAGAAAAAAAAAAAAACATGACTGAGATGAAAATGTCCGCAAGGGGCGGAAAACCAAACCGAAGTACAACAAAGCGGCGGCGGCGGGGGGGAAGTCATGTCGGGACGCTTACCTCTGTTTTCATGACCCTCCACAGGTTGAGGACGATGCGTCCGATGATGTGGATCTCAGTCATTGTGTCCGCTCCGTACTCGTCCCTTTCTGCAGCAAAGCGGTTGTCTCTGGAGTCACCTGAGGACACGCGCGGAGCCAGCCGGACAAGCGGTTACCGGGAGGCTTTCCAACGGACACTGCGTCACAGGTTAGAACTCACATCTCTGCTATTATACACACCTTGAAACACAGTGGCATAGCGCATTAAAAAAAAAAAAAAAAAGTGGAGTGAACACCAGGAGCGTACTCATGTCCGCGGAGGAGGAGGACAAGCTATTGCCAGGAATTGCGCGAGGGTACTCCCTCACACAGCAGTAGGCCCCCCCCCCAAAAAAAACAAAACAATTTTGGTATGCGTGTATGTCTTTTGTGGCTGAGCTTTCTGACATGGGCGCAAACCGAGGTCCGTCTTACCTGGCACACGCGATAGCTGTTGACAGAGGTCGACTCCAACAACGGCGGCTCGCTGCAGAAGGTAACCCCACGAGCGCATCTGCACCTCATAACCAAACAGGATGTCTGGGTCGAACCTACAAAAGCGCAGAATAGCTCTTCACCTCCCGTATGAAGAGACGAGGATTTGAAAAATCAAATCACAACGCTCGATATTTGGTCCCAAACCTTCTCATGATGGCGACCAGTTCTTCAAACAGCATCGTCTCATCCGCGGCGTACTTCACCCGCAGCCCGGAGACGCCTGACCTGACCAGCAGGGGCGCTGCTGCTCTGTGGCCTGCCGAGTTTATGAAAACAATATTCACCCGCCCGAATGTACGCAAACAACTTTTGACCAGAGTCAAACGTTTGAGTTGCACTATTTCACCTTGGCCACGAGCGCCGTGGTCTTGATGCACCACGATGGCGCCTGTCAATTGGGAGCGGTCTACATTCGGCAAGGGAGCGTCGGAATTCAGGCAGTAGAATAAGGCACATATGGGGTCGAACTCGGGGTCGGCTTCGAGGTCACGTCGAGTTCGTGCATGAAGCTCCATTCCCATGAGCGTCAGGTGCTGGACCTGACGCAAAAAGACAATTGGTTCATTTTTGCGGCTGCATTTCAAACAGAGTAGGAGTTCCGTGCTCCCTCTTACGAGGACCGGTCAAGAGGCGAGCAGCAGCGTTTTGGAGCAACCGGAGACGCTTAATGCAAGATTGGCTGACCCCAAAGTCAAGTACGTTACAATTATCCACACGAGATGTGACCAAGGCGCGAACGACTTGTTTCAAAGCTTGCCTTTAGCCAACTGCCGAAGATGGAAAAAGCGCCATTGGACAACGGCACCAGTTTGCCGGTCCAGTTTGAAATCACGGTCCAGTTGAAGAGCTTTTCTCACCTCGTGGAGAGCTTTGGCATCCTGCAAGTTTTGCATGCTGACTTTGAAGCCGTAGGAGTTGGCTATGCTGGGGCCTTCGATCTGAGAATTCTCTCTCTTTGGAGCGTTCAAAGCAGCAAAATGGCTCTGTGCAACAAAAAAATAAAATAAAATAAAATAAAATAGTTGTCGAGCAAGGCACGGTCAATCGATGTGCGGTGGATCCCCGCACATCGAGGCGCCAGCGGATACAAATGTTCACAGATTTGAAAAATAAAAATAAGATGTCGTTTTTTTTCTTTCCGACCTACTTTCCCACCGTTGGTCTCACCTTGATCTGTGTGTTAAGCAACCCTCTTCTCAGCGGTCCTGCTTGGCTTCCCCGCCGATGCTGGATTCTCCCACCAATCGGGTCTTCTACAGGGGGAAGGCCAGAGGAGCGCAAATGAGGACAATACACAGCTTCCACCAGGAGAAGAAAATGGCTCCTTACCTTTGGATATGGGGGTGCTACACGCGGGTTCCAGATGTTCGGGGCTTCTCAGATGCCTCTTCACCAACGGCGTGCTCTGAAGGTGATCACGTTCCATCACCTGGTCTTCGTTCCGGCCGGGAGGGCTACGATGTCCACCCGCTCTTTCCGAGGACAGTCCGGGTGACGGCGCTTCGGGGAAGTTTTCGCTGCGCCTTTTTGGGGCGAACTCACCAGAGGGCGGCTGCCACGACGGCAGTTCCGAGGACTCTGGAGAACTGGCTTGCTCCTCCTCTGTTCCTTCATCGATCTCTTCCAGCAGGATAGAAGCTTCATCTGACATCGGACTCATTTCCGTCGCGTCCCCCCGAGAGCCGCCATTCTTCGCGGGAGACGACGCGAGTGACAGGTTCCGCTTCCTTCTCGTCGGAGTTCGGAGGCCGGGATTCCCGCACGGGTTCAAGTTGGAAGCGGAACAGTCGGGAGCAGCCGACTCCGCGTTGCCGCGCGCGTCGACGCCGTCCTTCTTTAGTAACTCTGCTCGTCGTATCCCCTTTTGTAAAGCCTCATACTGCTTCCTGGCTTCCAACCACAAGCGCACACGTTGGCGGCTCGGCGCCGTTTTGCAGGGCAGAAGGACGACCTGCTTGTCGCCGGTGGAGGATGGCTCAGTCGCAGCCTGATCTTGCTGCGACTGAGGTGGGCTTGGGGCGGCGGCGTAATGCGTCATGGCGGAGAAGGCGGTCTTCCAGAAATGCAGGCCCTCTAAAGACAGTTCCCCACCGAATTCCTTCAACTCCTTGACGAGTCTGGTTCCCACCGCTAGCTTGCGACCACCAACCTCCCTAGAAGGGGGGGAAAAAAAAAAAATCAAATACAAGCACAATATAAGACAGCGAGGTGACCGCCTCTGCATCCATTTCGTATCACGAGACGGACTCATTTCCATACGTCAGTCGATCTATTCTCACATGGGTTTTCCCGGCGCGTCAGAGGGATCGCTGCAGAAGGGCTCCTGGAAGGCGGCCTCCGATATCTCCAGGTCGAGCAGAGTGCCGAGGATCTCCTCCCTGCTTGGAGGGCACATGAGCGGCTTCAGAATGTTGGCTCCTCCCCCTGGTCCGCGCAGCAGCTGGCTCGCCCTCACCTGAGAGAGCGAACTGACGGAGCACGGGGAGCTACCGGGCGTGGCGGACGTCAGCCCGTCGATGCCCTCGAGGAGCTCGCCCGTCGGAGAGCCCTCGTGGCTGCCGAAGCTCGCCGAGCTTAAAGGGGGCGGGAGGACGGGCTCGCAAGACGAAAATAGGAGCTCTTTTCCTTCGCAGTGAAAGTCTTGAAAGGGGCTGAGGGGATGGGCGCCGCCCGACGACAAGTCACAATCGCTGCTCTGGAATTTGTCCGAGTCGATGAATGTGAGGTGGTCGGATGTGGACGCCCCGCGCTCGGGTCTGTCGAAGAGGTCGGGGCTGGCGGGCTTCACCCCGTGCCAGTCCGAGTCCTCTTTCAGGTCCTCGCCGTAACCCGAAAGCGGACCCTGTTTCTTCTCAAAGGCCAGCGCGTGAGCAGAGGCCGCTTCCTGAGTGGCGTCGCTCAAGAACTTGACTGGTAACATTTGATCCGTCAGGACAAACTGAGTGCCGCTGTAGGGGCTGGAGAACTCGGTCTGATCGATGGCATTGATGTCGAAGGAATAGTTGTGCGGGAGCTCCGGCGATAGGCCGTCTTCCATCAAATTGCCGGACGGAAGGAGCGAGCGGCCGTCCGACACGAGGGGCCGGCTGTCGTTTGGCTCGCTTTTCCGAATCCCGCCTTTGGCATCTTTGGGGTTGGTCGATTTGGGTGCCCGGGGTTTTCTCGGAGCGTTCGGGGGTTTTTTGGGTTTGCCTCGTTTCGTTGCGGGATCGAGCGACGCGCCGGGCTGAGCTTCGGCGGTAGAATGGCGGACAGCATCGCCCGCTTGCGTCTGCCCGCGCCGACTCTTTTGGTAAAGTTTCTTGAGGACCGACAAGCTGCACGGGGGCTGAGAGAGACCGGCGACCGGTCCGTACTCGTGGCCCGACCGTCGGGAGGCTTTTGAGAATCGAGCGTCTTTTGCGTTTTGCAGGGGCGGTGCCCGAGACGCCTCCTCCGTGCGAGGCTCAACCTTAACGCCGGAGGTCTGACAACCTTGCCGTTTCATCCGCACGTCCGTGACCGAGAGCTCGCCGTGTTCTGACTTTGGTTCCACAGACTGGACCGTTCGGTCTCGCTTGGTACCTTGATTTGCCAGCTTTTCAGACGGGGATGAGGAACCGTCTGGAAAAGCTCCCCGTGCGACGTCTTCACTTGGGTCAGGATTTTTCGGGTCCGCGGGCTTCTTTTTGGATGGCCGGCTGGCTTCGGGCATGTCTTCAGAGGTTTTTATTGGTTGGACAAAAGCCAGAGCCTTCCTCCGCTGTCTTGGAGGAGCTTTGGCGCTTTGAGAAGATTTGCGTTTTTTCACATCTTCCTCCGGAGGCTCAATCGCAGAACTCGTCACGTCTCTCCTTGCGGCACCTGTCGATTTCTGCGATCTGTTGTTTTTCCGCCTGTTCTGAGCTCCTTTGGTCGATGACGTCGGCGTTTGTTGCGCAAGACTGAGACACGGATCATTGAAGGTGGTCAGGAGTTGCTTTGAAGTCCCCGCATTCATAAGAGGGTCCGTTAGAGACCAACAGCGAGGGGACGCGGGGCCCGATTCAAACTTAGCATCGGCGAAGTCGCCGTTATCGTCGTCTGCCAGCTCACGGTCACGTGGGAAAGAGGGTAAACGGTGGCGCTTTTCGCAGCCCTTCGATCTTTTTGCCCTTTCACTTCGTCCAACTTGAAGTCTGGAAACGCCGTCAACTGTTTTTCTATTTGAGGAGTTGACTTTGGACTTTCGTTTGGCTTGTTTTTTGGCCTTTGACTCCGTGACAGGAAACTCGACTGCGGTCGACTCGGGCACCTTTGGCCAGAAGTCCTTTAGGGGCGCGAGTTTGTTGTACTGATCCAACTTGTCTTTTGTCAGTGTCACCCTCTGCTCTTCTGCGCTGACTTTGCACATTTTCACCAACATATTTTTCTCTCCTTTAAACCTGTTGATGATGATGTACTTGATGATGACCGGGGGTTCCTTCTTCCGCCGTTTCTGGTATTTTAGCTCCTGCCCACTGCGGACGTTGCAACCTTTGAGACGCTCTTTGACAGTCGCTGTGTTTTTCGACCGCGCGGCGCCCAAATATTCGCCGTCGCCGTCGTACAGCGTTTTGCGTTTGGTCCTCAGTGTGTATTTACCACCCGGCAGGGACGAAGCCGTCGTACAAGTTACTTTGGTGGCTAAATCTTGCAGGGGCCTGAAACCGTCTTCTGGCGGATCTTTAGTTTCCGCCGAGCAAGCGGGCGCGACGGCGGCGCAGGCGGCCGGTGATTCTGGCAGTTTGCCAACAGACGGCCCCGCGACGTCCGGCCGGTCTTGCGCGGTTGGCTTTTCCCCTCGGACGGGCTCGCCGACAAGGGACTCTGGCCGCACTGAATTCTCATCGCAGACCAGCATTTCCGTGTCCCCGATCCCTGGACGATCAGGCGTGACCGAGGTGCAACCGATGCTAACCTGGCTGTCGGAGGAGCAGCTTTCATCCACGTTCAATTTGTTCCTGGGCCCCGACAATCTTTTCTTATTTAATTTGAGCCTGGACCTGCGATGGTGGGTCTGTTCTATTTTGCCGCACGAATCCGGCAGCTTTTTGCCGAAAGGTTTCTTCCGGTTGAGGCAATTGGAGAGAATGACACTTGGGAAGAACTTGTAGTGCGCTTCCTGCTGGGCGACGATGGTCTTTTCCGTTTTATTTTCCTGATAGTCCTCATACCTGATTTTGAGCTCGCCGACGTCCCCCTCTTGGCCATCTTTGCTCATCTCGCCCTCCTGAGGGTTCAGAAACACCTCGCTTTCGAGAGTCGGAGGCGCCGAGGAAATGGTCCTCAGGAGGGGGCTGCGCCTCTCCAACTGGCTCAGGTCAAGGTCTGTCTTGGTGGAGCGGTTTCTCAACTCTGAGTAGCAGAGGGAAAAGGCCCTGTGGTTCTGAAGGATGGACAGGCAGTTTGTTTCCACGGCGGTCATGCTCTTTCGTCTTTTTGTGAGCTGATTGTTGTGAAACTGGAAGCTTTCGAGATCGGCTCGATCCAACGCTTGCTTGTCAAAGCTGAACGGCGGGTGAATGTCCTCGTTGTCCACGCAGATGGCGGATGCCTCCGGTTGGCTGATTGTTTTGCAGGGAATCGGGTGTTTGACCGGTGGGATGGAAGGAACTTTGGTCGTCACTTTGAAGCCTGTTGAACATTCGCTCCCGCTCTCCTGACTGCTCTTTGACTGAAAGTGTTTGTCGAGCGGTTGCTCCTTGTCCAGCGCGTGGACCGGGCTGCTGTGCTCCGGGTGTTGACACTCCAGAAAGATCTTGGCTGAGGAGGGGGCTTCCAGGTGGACGCTCTCTCCTGGGATATGAGTTCTTTTCATGATCATCTTCTCGGTGACGAGAAGGGAAGACTGGCTTCTGGAGCCGCTGTCTGTTAAGGATGAATCTGGGGAAACAGACGCACAAACAAAACCAATCCAAGTCACTTTTGAAAAGTCTCAAACATTCGATGTGCGGCTTCAAAATCTATTTCCGACGAATGAGCATTCAAATGGAAAAGAGCCGTTTCAAAATGGCATCGTTGATCGGGTACAGCCAAAGATGGCGACACGCTCCAATCTGCTATCGTGAGCTTCGAGCCGAGAAACTTAAGGCCGTTTATCACTGCGCGGGCCAAGGTTTCTGCTCGAGTTCCTCCTTTGGCCATCATGGGCTTGACTTGAATCCCACTCGTCCACCTTGAAAGATGGCTCGGGAGATTTTACGCCGTCGCCTCATTCACTCGGTGACACGATTCATGGAATATTGAACAATATTGACAGCAGAGCAACGACACTTTGCACGCTGTCGACGTCACGCCGGAGGCAAACCCAAAAGCAAACACTTGGAATGTCTTACCGCTGCTCTCATCCGCTGCCCCATCAAATTGGGGGATGGACAAGTTAGCAAATAAAGAATTATTAGCGCTCCACTCCATGTCGTCGTCAGAGGATTCCCGATGCTCATCACTGATGCTGTCCTGCGCCTCCTTGCCAGCAGACCTGCACACGGCAGGATGACAGATGAAGCCGCTGTGAACCGAGGTCATTTTATTCATGCGCAGCATTGCAGAAACGCACCTGGGAAAAGGGGAGCTTTCGAGGGGCTCGCTGTCCCATCGTTGTGACATTGTCAGACTGAGCTGTGCCTCTTCCTTGTCCAACTCGGGCTTTGCCTCCTCATCGTCGCTGTTGTAGTGGCAGCTTTTGGTACCCGCAAGGGACTGGGACTGTGAATTGTGCAGACCGGCGGTCCTGCAGTCATCCGCCAAGCCTGCCAGCAGTTCAATCATGGCGCGGTCTTGGCTGCTATCTGGACATTGATAACAAAAAGACAATTATACCAATTATCTTCAAGAAACTTTCACAATTCCCCCCCCCCCTTTTTTGTAGTTGCTCAGCTTATTCAATTGCGATCACTGCAATTCCTTATGTGTAATGGTCAATTTAGATTGCCGAAAAAGATATCGTCGCCAGCTATAGTGTAGCTTCTGCCTCCCTTTTAGTACATTGGCCCGAAAAGTAACATTTTTGTCAGGTCTTAGTATAATTAGGGTGAGGAAAAGACTCGAGCAAAGCTAAATGATTGCTTAGTTTAGCATGAAGACAAGAGGTTATTTTGGTTTGTTGCCACGAGCGACAAACCAACAAGCAAAGTAGCAGCAAACTGCAAAGTGACATCAATGTTGATGGTTATTGAGCAATGTCATCAGATTGTAGTCGATTACAATTTGAAAAAAACCAAATATTACTTGAGGACAATCTGTTTTCTTCACGTACCTAATAAAGGTGAGTGGTTGGACGTCTGAGAGGGCGGTAGGAAGCTCTGACGGCAGCAAACTGCAAAATGACATCAATGTTGATGGGATTGTAGTCGATTTACAATTTGAAAAAAACCAAATATTACTTGAGGACAATCTGTTTTCTTCACGTACCTAATAAAGGTGAGTGGTTGGACGTCTGAGAGGGCGGTAGGAAGCTCTGACTGCTCTCCAGGAGACATAAAATGGCCTCCTCATCAACAACAGCCTCCTCTGGGATCTTGCCTGGACTGCTCACAAATTCTTGGGAGACAATTCAAAGTCACAGTGAGAATCTCAGAAGCAAGCGACATGACAAAGCAAGGAGAGCGCCGACCTCCTGGATGCTCTCCGACCATAAGAGGTCACAATGAGAGCTCAATAACGGGAAATTGCAACAGAAAGTCACAAATGCGGCAGTGAGTTCAATAGCGAGGTCTCAAAATCTCACCAATTGTATTTATGTTGGCGTGAATGACAAATGTCTCATGTTCAGTTTTACAACAAACACGCTGACGTTTTTCAGCAAACGAAGGGCATGACTATCTTTGAAAAGCAAAGACTTATGGTACACGTGGCTCATTAAAATACACCACGCAGCATCTTGACCTGGCTCAGAGTCCCTGTGCACCTCCACAGCTGAAGCAGGTGTACACTGCGCTTCCTCCGGTGTCAAATGGAGAGAAGAATGCAGGGTGAGATCACCGAAAGCCTCTCCGTCACTCACAGGGGAAGCCGGCGTCCTGAATAGAAAGGGAACGTCCAATTTGTGCATCGTTCGGGAGCATCAAAAAGACAGAAATAGCATCGGTGGTCCTGTAGGAATGGCTGCCACGTGACGACAAAATAAGCGACCTTCTGGAGGTGCTCATGCAGTCACATCTTTTAAAGTCTCCTGTCTCATGTACGCAGGCAGTGATCGTGTGTGGAAATAGGAGCAGTGGCCGTGCAACTGGCTTTGTGTTTGAGACGTTATACGAATAGAAAAAGGGGCCGGCGAACAACCGGCCTTTGCAATCACCCAGACGGCCTCCCAACTCACCACAGAGCGGCCGTCAAATATTGAAATGCAGGCAAGACTGACGATTCCAAGCGGAAAACAATTTCTGGAACTTACGATGAAGTCGGGGGTTTAGGCAATAAACAGCGGACACTAAAAACAATACCCTGAAATTGCTTCCCGTTTCAGCTTGCCGCAGCAGGTCAATAACCGAAAACATTGCACTGTGGGGGGAAAAAAAATGTACAATACGGTGCAGGAAATCTACGACTTGGAAATTATTATTCGGGAATGCTAAGTCTTTCATTTAGTGGGGGGGAAAAAAATGTACAATACGGTGCAGGAAACCTACTACTTTTTAAATTATTATTCGGGAATGCTAAGTCTTTCATTTAGTCACAACCATGTTCATGTTGATGCCAGACGCCACCTGGTAGGAAGGTTAGTAGCATATTTGGACAAAGTAGATTCAGGGAAAGCAAGAAAAGAAAATGATGAAATTGAACACCAAGTCGCTTCACCGGCGTGCGGCATGATGACAATGATGCCTACTAAGTGCGCTTTTGACTTGAGTCTCATTATCATGCCAAGTGCTGGCAAGCCTCAAGAGGAAAGGGCTCCGGAGAGCGAGCGCGCGTGCCGCTGTCTGGCTCTCTCTTAAATCGTCTGCTTAATGACTTTAAAAAAAAGTGTCGAGGGGAGGAAGTCTGCCTGGTGTCAAGAGAGTACTGCTGTGATTAACATGTTCAGCGATCATGGTGGCACTGTGCGCTTACTGGCGCGCGAGCACTTTCATGGACTTAAGTCAATAAAAGACAATACTTTCAACATTTGGGATAATGCGTGTCGGGCCGCGGCCCGGCTCTTCTGGGCCTGTGAAAAGTTGCTTGGAATTAAGAAAATAAAACCTGCTTTCAATTTTTTTTGCACATCTTTTATTGTGAAACCTGTTTACAGTGTGCGTGAGTCGTTTACGTACAGGTGCTAAGGCCGAATCAGCGTGATTAGCGGCGAGTCGTCACTGTCATGGCCGCCCCCCCCCCAAAAAAAAAAAAACATTTCAAGAGGGACGCTGAAGAAAATACGGACTGTTGTTCAATATTGCTTGATAGAAGTCAGGGGCAAACCCGCGTGTTTCGTTTGCGGCGAAGGGGACGATAACGTGAGTCGGCATGACGAGACGCAGCGTGCGGAAAAATACAAACAATTGACTGAGGCTGGGAGAGCGCAGCTTCCCGAAGATTTGCTTAGCGAAGCTCGAAAAACAACAAGGCTATTTGACCAAGCTACACGCGGCCCGGGAAGCAGCAAGCAGGACCGGCTTTGGTGATATCGCGAGGAACGCCAAGCCATTTTCGGGAGGGGGAATTCGTTCAAGAGTGCTTGGTGGATTCCGCGGCGCTAACAACAAAACAAGTTCAACAAATCCAGGTACAGACCCTCACTTCTTTCTCACTGATGAGCATCTGTCATGTGTGCATATTTGGATTTTTTTTCCTGCGTAGTTTGACAGTTGGGACGAATAATGTTGTGCGTTATGTGACATGATTACTGGCATCTTCATGGAAAGTTAAGATCAAAAAGCGTTGTTGTGTTCATGTTGCTGAAAAAGAATGTTGCACAATTGCAATTGTTTTTGCACAATTTGACTGATCACCAGCCGGACCACAGATTTCTCTGTTAAAACAAAGCAGACTTTCTACCAGTGACAGTCACGCCATATCGTGGAAATCTGTAGTGTGTAGCAATGGGTTTTGTTTTTTTGTATGGGCATGATATGCTCTGCATTCCACTGAGGAATCAAAATATAAACACAGGTGACATGGTGGTTGTGAGAGCCTGGAGTCAATGTTTACTGAAAGCGCAATTTATAAGCATATGTTCCCCAACTCAATCCTCGGCATCTTATCCGATGTACAAGGATGACCATTCCCCAAGAGAGACACCCTTAAGGCCAGGGTCTGGTACCCGTCATACCACAGTGGTTGCTCATGCCCTCGTCGAACTACAATTGATTTAGTTTTTTCATAGGATGCATTTATATTGCTGAATTCCGCCTTTTGAGGATTCTGGTGTGTCACTCCTGCGATGGAGTCTGTGAAATGAAGCTTGAGGGCATCGGGAAACTGAAGATGCACGTGAATAAATAAGAACCAGTTTGGGTGGGGTCGCTCATTCATGGATTTCATCTTCTGATGGGGCCACGAATGACTTGTAAGCCTATATCCCCGGTTTCTATGTGCAACGGGCAAAGCGCACCACACACAGGTTAGGTTGCCAGTCAATTGCAGGGCATACATTGGGTGGTAACTATAGTTTTCCAGTCACGTGTCAGTGGGTCCCGCTGCGGTTTCGAGGCGAAGACGATGGATGAAAGGGTTTGAAAGGAGCAACTTACACATCGAACTCATTGTCCTTCAGAAGCTGCTTGAATCTTTTCAGGAAAATTTGCTCACTCTCAGTTGAAGTGACAAATGCACGCTCTGGAAAACAGAAGGAAAAGAAAGCAATTCCAAATGTTTTTTTCCAGAGCTCACATTCTTACTCGGACACCAAAAATCGAGTTTGGTCAAATGCTGGAAAAATAACACCTTCCAGTTTGATCAAGAAACCTGTTGTATTTCGAACTTTTCTGCTCACAACATGCTGACCTTGCGACTCTGGGGTTTCAATTTGAGAGTCTCTGTTCTTTTCTCTCCTCCGCTGCTTCTCATCCTCCCAGATTGCTTGTAGGCCGGGGTTCCTTCCGATTTGATCTGAGCAGATGACAGCACGTCGGCAATGAAATGTCAGCGACAAAAATACGTCAACTTTAACGCTGAGCGAACTTGTGTTTACATGCGGTCGATTACACTTTCAATCGTGATGGGCCGACTTCCGTGGACAAGTACGTGATTGGCATGTGTCGATCGAGGACAACCCATAGTGAGAATGTTCGTGTTTGTCTGTCCGTCTCATTGGTAGAAATGGTTGGGTGGGGAGAAAGTAACCCAGACGAATTACTTTTCGGTGCGGTTTCTGCTTTTGGAGAAGGGGCAATTTTGAATGACAAAGAGCACTTTTGATTTTCCTGAGCATGCTTACTGTCAATCTCGAGACGGTTGAGCACATCTACAGCAACGGCGTCAACTTCCAGCTCGCAGGTGCTCTGCCTCGCCACCTCATCCAGGACGAGGGAGCTGCAAAGAAACAGACAGGACACAATTTTTACAAGTCCCAAATACAACAGACCTCGTGGAGATGCCTTATTTTTACAGTTGAAGCCGCAATGGAGAGGGTGAGTAGCACCGAGTTCCTTGGTGCGCACAACTCCGAAGACCTGTCCTGGCGCCATCATGCCACATCACTGGTCAAAAAAGCCCACCGGCACCTGTACTTCCTCCGCAAACCGAAGAGAGCAAGATCCCCCCCCCCACCAATCGTGCAGACATTCTATAGAGGCACCATTGAGAGCATCTCGACCAGCTGCATCACCGTGTGGTACGGCGCTTGCCGAAAGAGTCTGCAGCGCATCGTGAGAGCAGCTGAGAAGACCATTGCTCTCCCCTCTTGCCCCACTCGTGGACATTTACAACTCTCGTGCGACCCGCAAAGCCATCCAGATCGCAGGTGACCCCACCCACCCATCTCACAGCCTCTTTGAAATCAGCTTAGATGTGAATTGCCAAATGGAAAAAAAAGAAAAACAAATTAAAAATAAAACCCCACATGGCTGCGTGTATAAAACAAGTTTCATTCAAATCGGTTCGAGTCCGTGTAAAATTATGTTCATGTGTCGATTCTGAGCAATTCCAATTCGAACAGTAACAAGCCTGGGAAATATTGATTCATCCTCTAAAAAGTTTCTCCCTTTTTAAAAGTGCAGACAAGGAAGTAAGACTTCCTCAAGGACAAAACTGCTTCACAGTGGTCATAAATAGCAAACTCAAACGTGGCGTTTCCAAAACAGCTCCCAGATCTCTCCTCGACTTATTCCTCAAGCAGCATCGCGGTCCGCGAGGTAGGACCCACCATGGAATGGCATTCTCTTCCCAGCGGCCAAAGGTGCCCCCGAGGGTGCTGTCGTTGAATTTGGATGTACACGGGCTCTTCCAGGGACTGTTGCCGGAATGAATGACGGGGGTCTGCTGGTCCGGGTCTGCCGGCACATCCCCTGAAACGTTTGGCATTTATTTGGAGGTTAATCGGAGGCTCCGTTCACACTGCAAGCTGTGGCGCTCATGTTACGGTGTCGTGTCGGCAGAATAGAAAGGCAAGAGGAGTTAGAAATGTTTCGAGGATCTGAGGCACGCTCCTCCATCTCCTTTTTTCGTGGAGACGTCGAGTAAAGATGACATCACGTTATTGCCAGGCGTAGAAAGAGAACCACGGCTGAATGACTACGGTCGCCACAAATCTCCATTTGATACTTCATGTTTCAATTGGGATTACATTCAAGTCGCGTGTAACGCCAACACCTGTCAATCACCCCTTTTGATGACGTGTGTGGAATATCTGCAAATGATTATTAATGCTGCAAAACCATCACTTATACAAATCCGATTTATAGCCACTAAAGTGCCTCAATTCAGATTGAACCGTATATATGACATGCATACAGTTAAGTTAATCGCCTTTAATGCCAAGAGCGTCTCAAAGGGCTTCACAAGGCCCGAGTTGACAAAGATCCCGACCGTTGTCCCCTACCTTCGTTTTTGAGTCGGCGGAACTTAACCGCCGCGAGGTTCAGCAGGTTCATGCCATACAGGTTGTAGTCGATGAAAAGCTGCAGCAGGTATGGGATGTGGCCCTCGTGGGGCTGGTAAATCTTGTTCATCACCGCTCCGCTCTGCAACAGTTCACAAACCCTGCCAGAAACGGAATGTTGGCGTAAAAACAGGAGACCGTTATAATACTCTTGATCGACTGTATCGACCGCGGAAGCTGCTCAAATCCGTTTTTACGATTCAAATATATTGGCAAGTACACCGAGCGGAGGGAAAGGTGGTTTGATCCCATTTTTTTGGAGATCTTTTAAGTTGCAGGTTAATTTCCACGGTTTGGTTGGTCCCGCGAGATATACTCAGACGGGACTTTCAAAACGTAGTCAATGCCCCATGCGCATATTACCTTTTGACCATCTGAGGATTGTACAAATAGATCTTCATAAAGTGCTTCTCCTTGGAGTGGTAACCATAGAAAGGCCTGGAAGACAGCGCAGTCCAAATGTCTCAGACGAATCGGCAGCATTTACGGGTGAAAGTTCCATTTGACAGTTCTCGTTTGGGTACTCACATGCCAGAAACCAGCACCACCTTGAAGATGTGCTGGACCTCGGAAGCGGGGTTTCCCATGGCAACGTTGAGCGCTCTGTCAATGCTGAAGGCCACCAGACGCAGGTACGGTTCCGGCTGCTGTCCGTGACCGTCGTACGGAATATAGATGTATGGGAACACTCCATGAAGGTGGAGACATGTCTTCTGACCTGCACAACGGAGCAGCATCGGATGATGAGCACAGAGCAGGACATTAAATAGACGTCAGTCACCAATAGCGTTATGTCAATCCAAGTATACAGCCCCGAGCCCGGCCCTGACTGTCCCCTGAAGACGTTGCTTGCAATTAAGAAAATAAAAGCGACAGTACTTTCACATTTTTGAATAATGCGCGTACAAATAGTTTCAAACCGTGTGTGGGGGGTATCGAATGGGCCCTTGAGGCTTTTTTTAAAAGCAAGCGATGTAAGATAGGTGGCTAAAGTAAAACAAGTCATTTGCCAGCTTTTGCGTAGCATCAGAGGTGGAACCCCAGCAACCGTGACATGAGTCGCCGACTTTCTGGGCAAAACCACTCACAAGTTCTACAGAGAGACTGAAACACGTAAGACTAGGCCGAAATAAACGCGAGAAAAAGTAAAGGCGTGCACATCAACCGTCGAGTCGAGAGCAGTCGAGTTTTAGCTCGAGGGAGCGCTGAGAGACACGAGGAGTCCATTCAGTCCGAGCGAACGTTGGAATGTTTACGGGGGAAAACCTCAGACCTTGGAGCACATCGTTTCCATGTTACCTCAACTGAACCTCTCAGAGCGGGCACGAAGAAGAAGGGGGAAGGCAGGAAAAAAAAAAAAAAAAACCCTATGACCAGAGCACAGTGCAGTGCGTGTGAAATATCAAAGTCGGCATCTAGGCCAAACATTGGCCACAGGCACAAGCAGGACATACACAAGAGCCGTTGTGCAGATTAGCGGCGGCATCCTTATTTGAATCGTGGAGCACATTGTTTCTAGTAAAGCTGCGCTCGCCATCGCTCGCAACTTCACTTGACTCCGGCTGAAAACTTTTGGCTTAAAAATCAACATAGGTGTCCATTTCTGTCCATTACCATGGCAACGTAGGACAAGAGTAAAAACAGACTTGTCGCTCCCCGTTGTGCGCTGAGCTAAGCTAATGGCTAAACTCACCCCCATCCACCTCTACCTTGAATGAATTAATGGCATTTCCGTTCATTTCAATGGGTCAAGATGATTTGAGATGCAAGTGCCTTGAGTCACGGATTAACTTCAACTTGTATCTCAAAGCCCCGCTGGACTTTGAATGATCCAATATTACAGTCATTCGAAAGAATTATGCCATGGAAGCATTCAGCTGGAAGGCTTCAAAGGAACAAAAGACTGGTCGCCAGTTTACTTGCACCCCACCTAGATTCGCCCTCTCTAATGACCACCTATCTGAATGTTAAGGCATGCGAGTTGGTGGGCTGTAAAAATCATTTCATGTTGAGGATTAGAAAGGCCCCGCTGAAGCTGAATGCAACAGTGGGAGGGTGCAGCGGAGGATGGGGGGGTTGGGGTGGTAAGGCTAAAGGCCGAACTAGCCCCAGTTGTAAACATGTTGCTTGAAGCCAGCAGGACAGGCCAATCGGCCGACACGACACTCGCTTCAATTCAAACAATCCGATTGGGCAAAAGCATCCGCCTCTCAGCGATGGCCTTTTTAGCAGCAGATGCAAGTTGAACTGAGCGCAAAAGCCAATGCACAGAAACGCACCGCAGCGATGCTATTTTTAGTCGCGAGAATCCCCCCCCCCCCCCCCCCCCCCCCGCTTTGAAATCAGCCTCCCCTCACACGCGGCGTACGCTGCGATGGAATTAAAATTTGATCCAAACAGACCCGTTGGTCTGCATTGCAGTCCCGGACCAAAAGTGGTATGTGGACACCAGTCTGGCTGTGCGGTGGTGTTTATTTTTAAAGGAAACGGGAAGACCATGTTTGGAGGTGGAAGGCAAATATCTGCTTTTGGCTAGAATGCACAGAATGGGGCCAATTTATTTCTAAGATATTTTTTTTAATTGTTGAAGTTGGCTGGCCCGGTGGACGACTGGTTAGCGCGTCGGCCTGGCGGTGCAGGGTTCGATTCCGGCTCCGGCCTTGCTGTGTGGAGTTTGCAGGTTCCCC